AGAATAGAATAGAATAGAATAGAATAGAATAGAATAGAATAGAATAGAATAGAATAGAATAGAATAGAATAGAATTTCTTAACAAAAACTGAAAAGATGGGAGCCTTATCTTACCCTGGTCTCCTTCCTGTCTCCTGCAGGCCACAGGTGTGAGAGAGGACCAGCTTCTGGTCACAGTCCTGCCTGGTCTGCCTACAGCAGCCGAGTTCTTCCTCCTGCCTGACAAACAGATGACTGGGGGCAAACCAGAGAAGAGCTCGGCTCATTTAGATCAGGTGAGGCRGCAGCTTCTGAACACTTCCTGCACAGGTGTGTTGATGTCACCTGGTTAGTGCAGAGCTCCTTTCTGCTTTGTGGCTCGTAAAGAAGCTCCTCGTTGCAGCAGCTCGTCGTTTCTTAAAATAAAAACCTCCGCTCACAGTTCCTGCCTCTGCCAGCAGATGTCAGCAGAACGCTTCCATACCCAGGAGTCTAAAGAAAGTGTCGACTCATCAATAAGCTGAACCTGTATGTATGTTTTGAAACTGAGGAGCCAGCCGAGAAACACACCAACAAGAACTAAAATGGCTGAATGTGTTACCATTTTTAGCTTTGCTTGATTTTCTGCAGAGTTCCTCCTCAGCCATAAATCTTCATCCCAAAGTTCCAACAAGTGTGGAGCGGGCTCTGCTTATTAGAATGTATAATAGATTTACTGACCCTGGTATACATTGTGAATAGGTAATTAGTYAAAGCAGAGACTAAATTTAAACAGCACAAAGGGGAAAATGAAGGACCACAGAAATTACTCATTTCACTATTAATTTGGCAAACGAGGCAGAGAAGAAAAATGAAGTCTCTGCAGCAGAGAGAGGAACAAGCATCGGCACAGAATATTATTTAACTCTTTATTTTTACAGCATGCAGGTGCAACAATGACTCTAGCAAAAGCTTTATGGYTGTGTAAGGTAAATGAGTTTTGTGTGGCTGAACTCCAGCTTTTCATGATTATTATAATTTAGCTGTGGATTATGGGGTGCTGTTTGTAAAGTTTCACAGTCAAAAATTACCACCAATATTTTTGTTTTATTTAGCCTTTTATAAGAAAAAAAGAACAGATTTATTT